TAAAACAAAACTTTTCACTTTATATGTAGATAATATATATATATATTATATTTCATAATCAAAAGTAAAAAAGTTCGAACAGAACAATTGAAAATTGTTCGAGGATTAAGTGTGATAGATGTATGTTACTGGTTTGGATATGTTGGAAGAATAGTCAAATAAACACCTTTTGTTTTGCGAGCGTGGGTGTGGGTGACTAGAAAAGAAACTCACACTCACACCACCGTATTAATTCCATATACTTTTCGTTTAAGTAAAGGATTTGGGTATGGGTATGGGTGAAGACCATTCAGTTCACATCCGAACTTTGTAGCTTTATTGATTATCAGACGAATAGCTGCAACTGCGATACGACCAGAGCACTTTGATTTTTTTATAAGATTAATTGTGCACGAAGGAACTAACTTGTTTCATCGTAGTTTTTTTAAATTTTTTTGAAAACAATATTAACATCTAGTTCAGAGAGAATATAAGAGGCATGAACAAAAACTTGAGAGATAGCCGTCTTAATTTTCACGCACGTAAACGGATCAGTGGATTAATTTGAGACGAATCTTTTTTAAGCAGAGCCTTTTCATCATCTTTTGTGAGACTTTGGAAATTACAATTGACAGTCTATCTAACCTGCCACGGTGTTGTTCTACAGCTTGGTTAGCAGAGATAGAGTGTGCACGTGAGTATCGATGTGGTAGATCTGAGTACAGATATTTTGTGCATGAAGCAAAGATCCTTACATCTACATTGAATCCCATCGTGTCATCTACACGCCGTTAACCTTTCCGGCGACCTCGCGTTTCTGAGGAGCAACCTATCCAGCGATGTGTATCAGACATCGATATCGTATCGAATCGAGATTTTCTTATTCGTTTCGACCTCCGATATGTAGGCCTCTTTTTCGTGTGTTCGTGTGGCACCTGCAGTCAGTTTTTTCGTCCGTGTACCTTTCACCACGTAGTTTTCCTTCCATGAGACGATAGATAGATAATGCATGTGTATGAGACTTACTGTATGTTTGCATTTCTGTAGCAGTCACACTTACACATTGTCTGCGTGTATTTCTCGTTTTTCCACAGCAATCACAGTGAGTCCATGTAGGTTTACCTCTTTCCTGTATGTTGGTCTACAAACAGTAACCACGGAAAATATATGTATATGTCTTTGCCGTGTGTTTGTGGGGTGTGGGTGTGGTCTAAAAGAGAACCCACATGCATATCAACAACCTTATCCACACCCTTGAGTATCATTTGAAAGAACAAGATGCGGATGCGCGCGTGAGTGCATGGGGGTATGGATAAACACAAGCAGTACATCCACACCCCACACTCATACCCGCTCGGCTCGAAGTGATCACAATAATGGTCCAGGTGGCCACAGATATGGTCCAAATGACCACATCTAAGCTTCAAAAGACTACAAATATGATCAGAGCGACAGACGAACACAACTGAATTTTCGTTTCTAGACCATTACCTCAGTCTAGGGTAAGAGAATCGAGTATTTATGAGCGTTAGTTGTATTTAAGTCTAATGCCAAATACTAACAATAAGCGGAGTAGCTAGAGCAATAGCAACAATCATGTGCACAAAAAGAAAAATGAGTATCATATTGTTGGAAAGTTTACTGTCAACATCTTCAGCTTGTTGCACCTTCACAGTTGGTGGTAAAGTTGTATTGGCCAATTCAAATTCTCTATTATTCATAGAACGATTAACTGTCATTGATGACATTCTTAAAAGGTATAATCGAACAATTTCTAAGAGGACAACAATGATAACGACCCAAGCTGACCACAGTGACATAATAACTATCAGACCGACACGATTGGTTTTCCTATGCACTATTATAACAAAGATAGTGGGCACAGAGAGAAAAAATGCCAAAGATCCAGTTGCTCGATGACACCTATTAAAGATAAAACGAAACGAACTATCTGGGTGGCAGCGAAATAATGCCATATATATTTGCAATAACGCACAGCATACAATAATACCACCTAATACAGAATGCACAAAGGTGAGTCCTTCATTGGATCTTATCCATTTGCCCTTAACTTCAGCTAAAATAAGAAAAAAACCCAAGCAGTATAACCACCATAGCCAAGAAAAGAACGAAACGGTGAACTTGAAACCAAATAGATTCGCCAAGGAATTTTTGTTTATGACCTATATGTAATGAACGTCCATAGCGTGCAAATAATATACCGGTAGAAGCTAAGATCATCCAGCCGATGACCATAACAGTGCCATGAGCATTTGTAAGAATACGATCTTCTTCACGAGATCGTCCATTGGCAGTCGTTGTCGGCATTTTCTATGCTTTCAATGTGAATAAAGCTTCTACACTGGCTAATGAAATTGTCATTAACGTATTTTTTATAGCTTATTATGTTGTGTGCATGCTCACCTGAATGAGAGTAGATGGAATATCAAAATTAAAAACATATTAAGTTGACATCTATTTTTCTTATGTGTACAGAATCGTGCTGTTATGGTTCTCAGAGCAAGAAAAGGTACCCATACTTATGGAGAATGCAAAAAGAGCATGAATTGGATGAAGTGCATTTACATGTAAAAGTATGATAAATAACTTTTGACCTCAGACCAATAATAAAAAGAATGTACTTTTTAGATATGCAAACAAAGCAAGAAATCATTAATTGCCGCTGCTACCAGCGAATTGAAGAAAAAAAACTATTTGAAACTAATACTTTTCTTGTTAAAATTTCAGTAGATGAAGTCAGACGAGTTTGATCTACAAAGAATATACACTTTATGTGTGAAGCAAAATCAAATTTATATTTGAGGCAACAAAGGTATATGAGAACACCGAACACTTAATAGAAGTTTCAGAAATATCAAAGTAGAAAATTGATTTTATAATCCACCTTAGCAAAGATTCTGACTTGAAAAATAAGGCGTATACTTTTTCCCACACATTGAGTTTTCGAAGAACTTTTCATTCAAGTCCAGACGTTTTAGACAACAATTTTACCTTTTTCTGCTTCTACTTATATTTTTTAATTTGAATAGTGGTCCGTATGAAGACTAACAATAGCCTTCCCTCTGATTTCATTCGTTCTTCTATTCAGCGTATAAATCTGTAGACATTGAGAAGTGCACAGCGAGCAATTTTCTCTCAACAAGCTGACATGAGATTTTTTTTTTTTTTTTTTTTTTTTTTTTTTTTTTTCTGGCTTAGTAACCCCCATTCCCCCCCGAAGGCCTGTCGGTACCAAGAGATTACAACAAAAAAAAAAGA